AAAGGAATAAAGGAATAGATTAAGAGTAAATTTGACATATATGATTTAATGAAAATAATTGAGAGATTACAAACCCTTGCGCTTTCCGAATTTTCAGAATCCCCTTCGTCCTTACTTTTCTTCTTTTTTCATTCTGTAAGTTCATCGGATTCGTCAGTTAAGCTAAAGCTTGGTTGTAAACTTCTAGGGAATCGAAAAGAATGAAATCTTTCGAGCTCAGCCCGTAGCTTGTCATTTTCTTCGCCGAATGCATTATTTATTGTTATCAGAGTTTGATTTTCGTCTTTTAGACGTTTATTCTCCTTTGTTATAGTTTTAACCTGAAGTATAACCTCTTTATTTTGGGAGTTCAATCGATCATTTTGTTGTTTTAATTCAGAAATTTTTCATTTTAATTCGCGATTTTCTAAATGAAAAAAATATATATTTATATATTTAGTAATTAGATTGACAATAATTAATTCAACTTTTGGTAACGAACCTGTGGTAAAACTAAAACGATCATCTTTCGGATTTGTTGCTTGATCACGACCATAATGTCTTGGTTCAGGAATAGGTGAAAATTCTGCAGGTACAGTATTTAGAGTTTTTGAATTGCCAAATAAAAATTTAGACAGTAAACGAATATTTGGCAATTTACTGTGCAATGCACGCATATTTTTGATATTTGCTGTCAGATTTCGGTTCGTGCCTGGTGGAGTATTATTTTCTCAAACTTCAGAAGGTGTTCGAGCATGTGGAGTACTTGGCTGAATACTTTCTGCTGTATTTTGACTTAGAGAAGAAACGTTATGGATATTATTTTGATCACCGTCTGGTATTTCTTTATTTTTATTTTTGTTTTTTGTTTTTTCTTGTTCTGAACGAATATTAATATTTGATCAAGTGTTCGTCGCATTTTGATTTAGAGAAGAAGTTCGATCATCGTCTGATATTTCTTTGCCTTTATTTTTGTTTTTTGTTTTTTCTTGTTCTTTTGAACGAAGACGTAGAATGGTTTTTTTTTGAAACATTATTTTGTTGTTGATTTATAAAACGTGAAGAGAACGTTATGAAAGAAGTTAAAAAATGTCTTCTATTTATATTAAAATTTAGACTTTAAATAAACTTGATTTAAAATAATAGACTTTGAATAATTTTCGTTAATTTTTAATTTATTGATAATATCAATAATAATCATAGATATTCAAAATATCAATAATAAATGTATTGTATGATTTATATGATTTATTGATTTGATTTAATATTAATATCAATAAAGTTGATTTATTAATTTTTTCATAATATATTTATACATTTATAAATAACTAATTAATCTCTGAAACTAACGAACATATAAACTTTCTTAGAAAATTTATAATCGAATTGTAAGGCAAATTGACAAAAAACTTAAAGAGAAAACACAATGCCTAGAAAAAGGGCGATTAGTAACGTAATCAATGAGCCATCATAAGTTAATCGTTCTACTGCTAGTAGGTCTGTCTGTAAAGCAATATTGAAGGTTCGCTGTAATTATATCGATTGTAAAGGCGATTTTGTGGATCTACGAACAAAGATTTTACATGAAGCCAAGAGTTTGTCTGGAAAAGTAACTACAGATCAAGAAGACGAAGTTGAACTAGAAGGCATTTACATTTCAGAACCTTCAACATCAACCTTTTGTCAATTTGTGGTTCAACAAGATACACAAGATAGTCAAGATACACAAGAAAATAAAACTACGGATGATGACGATAGTTATGAACCTGAATTGAAATTCTTACCTAAAAGACATGTAAAAGGACATGGTAATCGTCAAAATTCAGCTAGAGTTACTTTAGAATACGAAGATCCAGAGAACGAAGATTTAGAGTTCTTTACCGATAATGAACAAAATACAGATTCTTCTTTGAATGACGATACCGGATCAACCAATAACGAAGAGTTTTACGAAAATTTCAAAGATTACTTATGTCCCGAATTTGATCCATTTCAAATTACTGCAGAGACGATAGGTAATAACAAATTTTTATGGATCTTAATATGGATTATGAGCTTTCGGATAAGATATAATCTTCCAGAAACCGCTACAGAATCACTATTAAAGTTTATAAAGCTATTATTAAAAGAAATCAGAAACACAGATTTTAACATGTTTCCTGATACATTGTATCTTATGAGGAAGGTACTTGACATTAAAGACCACTTTCATAGCTTCGTAGCATGTCTGAAATGCCATAAGCTGTATAAACAACAAGTAGTTGAAAACTTTAATGAAGATGGTGTATCAGCTATTATGAAGTGCCAACATGTTGAATACCCGAATTTGACAAAATGCAGAGTAAATTATTGTCAGACGGCCTTATCACAAAAAACAAAAATGTTGAACAGCCAAATTTCGTACAAAGCTATACTCACTTATCCATTTGTTGGTATCCAACAATAACTTGCCGTAATGTTTCGTCGGCCTGGATTCGAGGAATCCCTAAGATATTGGGTAAATAGGTCAGAATTTAATAATACCTTAACCGACATATATGACGGCCAGGTTTGGAAGAATTTCAAAGATATAACTGTTGAAGATTCACCCTTATTTTTTCGACCTGAAGTTGCTGATTCCAATCTGGAACTTATGCTAAATCTTGATTAGTTTTAGCTGTATGAGGGAACCGTTCACAGTACTGAAGCGATTTATGCGGCTATTTGTAATTTACTGCGAGATATATGATTTAAACGTGAAAACTTACTTCTACTTGGCCTGTTGCCAGGACCAAATGAAGTAAGTTTACACAAAATCAATCATTATTTAGCGCCTATAATTACAGAATTAGAATCACTTTGGAAAGGTGTGACTCTTAATCATACTAATGAATGTCTAAATGGGAAAGCTATTCGTGCAGCATTAATACTTGTATCATGTAATATTCCTGCCACTAGGAAAATATGTGGCCATGTTTCAGCCCTTGTTTCATGCCACAGGTGCGAAAAAAGGGCAAATTATGAAAATCAGAAACATAATTTTACCAGAATAGATGATATGGACGAATGGTTCATTTTACGAGATTCGGATCAACATCGTCAGGATGCTTATGAATGGAGATGCTGCAATTCAAATGCATCAAGAGAACAGTTTGTAAAACAAAATGGTATCAGATGGTCTGAATTACTTCGATTAACATATTTTGATCCAGTCTGATTTATCATTGTCAATCCGATGCATTGCTTATTATTAGAAATAGCAAAATGGATCATTAAACGAATTTGGATCGATAATGATATCTTAACAAGAAAAGACCTGAAACAAATTCAAAAAAAAGTGAATGAATTTCAAGTTCCATCTGATGTGGGCCGAATCCCAAAAAAAATTGATTGTGAAAAAAAAGGTTTCTCAAATTTCACAGCCGATCAGTGGAGAAACTTCTTCACGATATACGCTACTATTTCACTTTGGGAATATCTTCCGGTTAAGGATAGGAAAATTCTTACATATTTTGTAAGAGTTTGTACGATTTTAGTGAATCGAATTATAAAATTTGATCTAATGGAAGAAGCTCATTTGAAACTAATTGAAATCGTGAAGCTGATTAAAGAAAATTACGGTCGGGATAAAATAATGCCGAATCTTCACCTTTCTCTTCATTTGAATGAATGTTCATATGATTATGGTCCCCTCTACTCTTTCTGGTGTTTTTTGTTCGAACATATGAATGGTAAATTAGGTAAGTTAAAATTTTGCTTTTCTCGTCTGATTTCTTAACACGTATATAGTAATATTTTAAAATTCTTATATCAGGTTCCTTGCCGAATAGCAATCGACAGATCGAACTGGAATTAATGCGCAGACTGGTGACTGATAATTTAATTGATGATATATGCTCGAGAACAAATACCAAAGGTCTTGAATTTCTCGAAAGTTACCAGTCTGTTGGGTCTGTTTCAGAAAGTAATCAGTATGCATCTGACGAAATGTATCGATTTTGGCTCAGCTTAATAAATATTAAGGAGTCAATAATTAGTAGCAGAGAACCGTTTCCTGGAGAAATGATGAAACCTTCTATCGAAAACGTCCTATTAACAGATATATCGAACTCAATGTCTGATTTAATGATAGAATATTATAATGCAGCTTATGAGGACCTTGAATTTCGAAAAGTATTCGGAGAAGGTACCGAAAATTCAATAATAATTGGTATTAGGATAAATAAATTCAGACGATGCCGAATTGGATCAGAAACTTTCGGATCTGCTTTATCAACACGCCATATAAAAAGTTCATTTATATAGGCAAAATTTGTTACTAAAGATGGCAGTGTCGATTGCTATCCTGGACAAATCCAATACTTCTTTACACATATAGTCGATCTGCCTGGAAGATCATCAAAGTATTATCTGGCATACGTTCGATGATATAGCCACACAGATTCAAGGTATTATTTTAGCATCGATGATGATGAACAAACTTGTAACATCGAATTATAGCGGTCTAGCTTTTATTCTGAAAGCCGTGACTGCATAATACCAGTTACCATATTCTTAAATGATTTGTTCCAGTAAAATATAAAACTTTGAATCGGCAAAATGCAGTGGAATATTTGGCTATTAATCCAATTAATAGAAAATATCATATTCGTTAATATTTCAATGAAATTTCGTTATAATTTCGTTAAAATTTCAATAAAGCTTCGTTAAAATTTCGTTAAGATTTCGTTAAATTTTTTTATTGT